CTACATAACACACTTTTAGCCAAAGTCAAAGACTGGGGGACTTGAATGTCTTGGTGGTTCTAGTGTTAAAGTCTTCTCTGTCTGAATGACCAAAGCCCATAGTTCATACTGAGGACGTGCAGCTTTAAAATCAGCTGACAAATATATAGTTTAATTCTTTAATGTCCAGCAGTTTCTTAAAATAGCAGGACACTGTAGTTTCTAACAAACTTTGAGTAGGCAACATGCCATCCAGTGCAACAGTGTGGTTCACTGATGCACTTTTAATGGGTTTTGGACAACAATGAAGCTCTATCACACAGAGGAAGGAAAAATATTAGGCTTTAGATACACATTTGTTACAACATTCATTGTTGGTTTGGGTCTTTTCAAATGGAACACAGGACATGAACATGTATTTGACAGAGCAATTTAGTAGTATGCAAACATATTTTGTTGGAGTCTGGGGTGCAATAGTATGATGCCATTCAACTTTCTTCCTTATGACACTAACTGTTACCCCAGGCAGGGACGGACACATGGCTGACAACAGGATGCCATGCATTTTGTAGCAGACCTACACAATACAATATGTTGTATATCCAGATAATACTACACAATATCACACTATGCATAAAAGGTACCCAGATCAGGTAACAGCAGTAGAGATGGGATTTATTTCTCTTGATGATAAGATTTGGATCAGAATTATTTTGAAATATTGACGTGCCACTGTGTCGGACAACTCAGATGACGTCAAGTGAAATTTGCATATCAAATTGGCACCCCACGTGTACTCTGCTACGCTCCTCCCCTCGTTGTGCATGCTCTCCGTCTCAGTGGAGGAGCAAAGGAGGAGCTTGTGTGCGTGACAGCGAGAAAAAAAAAAGAAAAGAAAAAGAACGGCTCTCAACTGCGACTTGGTTCCCATCGTTCACGTTGAAGAGCCGTTCATTAAACAGCAGTGAACATTTTGGTTGTTTAAGTACAAAATTAAGATGGCCTATAGCTTCAGAGTTCCAGAGACAAAAGACTGACCTGAAGAACCATAGAAGTGTCTGAGTGTCTGTGGAGCTGGTTCACACACACAGCTGAGCCAGATTAATACTGGCCAACACTGAGAGGACGGATTCACAATGTCAGTGGGAAATTCCCTCTCCCCTTACAGAAGAGGACGGTCACAGAGAGCTGATAGTAGCCTGCAGGTGGGAAAACAGAGGACGCCAGAGGGAAAGACTGCAACAGGAAGGGAATGGGGGGTATCGGGATCCCAACACTGAACAGGAATGGCAGCAGCATCAATCAGGAGCCTTTGGTTGAATGTTTGTGACTAAGATTTGAAATACCCATTTGGTGATATTTGGGGCTGATGTTGGGTTTGATAACTGATATTGTTGGTCCTTTGGTGCCTCTTCGTTCATTGTTTGTTAGGATTTTGTGTTGTAGTTGCAGATTGCTTCTCTCTCACTTCACCTTCCTCTTCCAAGCATGAAGCACTACAGCCAGTGTTTGATTTGTCCCTGGGGGTGTAAAGTATGGCTAGTGTAAGGCTGTGTGCAGACAATGCTAAATCAGATAAATTGACTGCATTAGGCGAATAAGCTTTTTCATAGCAGACATGTTAGCAATTAATTTCATGTCATATAAAAGGAGAGAAAACCAGAGGGGTGTAAGTGACATTACAGGGGAGCCTAAATAAAAAACACACTTATTGAATTCAATCTTTATTATTAAAGCTTCATAAATACATGGATGACAATATACTTTGTACTATAGGTTTTTTTTTTTGGATTATATTATTATTATATTATTATTTGGATAATCTCTGGATTAACTCCATTAACGTTATGCAGATGATACGCAGTTATATCTATCAATCAAGCCCAATGAAATTAATCAATTATCTAAATTACAAACATGTCTTAAGGACATAAAATCCTGGATGAGCTGCAATTACAATTCTTGTACTTGGCCCCAAAGAGACTCACTGTCTAAAGATATAGTTACTCTAGATGGCATTACCTTGGCCTCTAGCACCACTGTCAGGAATCTTGGAGTTATCTTTGATCAGGATTTGTCATTTAACTCCCACATAAAGCAGACCTCCAGGACTGCCTTCTTTCATTTACGTAATATTACAAAAATTAGACACATCCTATCACAGACAGATGCAGAAAAACTAATCCATGCATTTGTTACTTCAAGGCTGGATTACTGCAACTCTTTATTATCAGGTTGCCCCAATAAGTCCATTAAAACGCTCCAATTAATTCAGAACGCTGCAGCACGAGTACTGACAGGAACTAGAAAAAGAGATCACATCTCTCCTGTACTAGCTTCTCTGCACTGGCTCCCTGTAAAATGTAGAATAGAATTTAAAATCCTCCTCCTCACCTACAAAGCTCTTCATGGTCAGGCCCCTTCATATCTTAAAGAACTCATAGTACCCTATTACCCCTCTAGAACACTACGTTCTCTGAATGCTGGGCTACTTGTGGTTCCTATAGTCTCTAAAAGTAGAACAGGAGCCAGAGCCTTCAGTTACCAAGCTCCTCTCCTGTGGAACCAGCTTCCAGTTGTGGTTCGGGAGGCAGACACCCTCACCACATTCAAGAGTAGGCTTAAGACGTTCCTCTTTGATAAAGCTTATAGTTAGGGCTGGATCAGGTGAGTCCTGAACCATCCCTTAGTTATGCTGCTATAGGCCTAGACTATCGGGGGATTTCCCATGGTGCAGTGAGCTCCTCTCTTCCTCTCTCTTTCTGCACTCATTCATGTTCCATTAATGCATGTTACTAACTTCACTTCTTCCCCGGAGTTCTTGTGCTTTCTCGTCTCGCAGGTTCTTATCGATCCTGGTGGAGCCTCCTGCCATGGTCCTGCTAGATTGCCATTGCCAATACTGTTGTTGCTGTGCACCTGTCTGTCTGTCTGTCTGTCTGCCTGTCTGTCTGTCTGTCTGTCTCTCTCTCTGTCTCTGTCTGTCTCTGTCTGTCTGTCTCTCTCTCTCTCTCTCTCACCCCAACTGGTCGAGACAGACGACCACCCACCTAGAGCCGAAGGGTCTGTCCTAGGTTTCTGCCTTTTAAACAGGCAGTTTTTCCTTGCCCTTGTCGCCAAGGTCTTGCTCATGGTGGTACTGTTGGGTCTCTGTAATTAATGTTATAAGGAGTTCGGTCTAGACCTGCTCTATTTGAAAAGTGTCCTGAGATAACTTCTGTTATGAATTGGTGCTATACAAATAAAATTGAATTTAATTGAACTGAATTGGTTTTCACATCTGCCCATTTGGCAGTAGACAGAGCTCATCCAGAGCTTTCCTTTGATTTGTAGGCTAGAGGGCCTCAAAAGTGCTTTAGTTTTCAAGATTCTCCAAGGTCTTCCATATATGAAATGGATACAAATATTTTACTGCAAAAGTGGTTAAATTGACAGTTATTGTGACACACCCCATGAATAAAGTAAGTGAAAAATAAAGCTGAAGATGAAAGATGAAAGATGATACACCTGAACTCATGTAATTTCGTAATGCAAGCTGTGATGGATTCCAATGTTGGTGTGGAAGTTGGAAGGGGGTTACTCTACATGTCTGAAAAAATAGAATGTGAATATTTTGATGCGTTGAGAAAATACAGGACAACAAACACAGAAGTACAATAGGCAGAAATATCAAATTTTAGGATTTATGATGAATGTATTAATTTACTTTAAGTTAGCTTTGGCAATGTCACTCCAAATGTCTGCTACCAGACAGACCGATAAGCACCAGAATGGGACAGACACAGCTGTTGGGATTTTGACAAAAATCATACAGCGCGATTACTGTGTTCTACCAGTAGATGTCACTCTTACATGACAATAAGAACAGACACAATGTGCCGTGTGGAAAGGTTTTAATACCTTTCTGCTGACTTGTATAACATGGTGGCTCGTTGGTCTAGGGGTATGATTCTCGCTTTGGGTGCGAGAGGTCCCGGGTTCAAATCCCGGACGAGCCCAATGTTTTTATATTTTTAATAAAACATCGGAGGAGACAACACGTCTGCCCTCAAATTTGTTTTCACAGTTCCCGTTATTGGTATGTGTAGTATGTGCTCTGACAGTTTTTTTTTATGTACTTACACAGAAGTAGAAATGCAGCTAAAAACAAGTTTAACAAAGCTGAACAAAATACATATTATTGATTAATATAACTCAATACTTCAATGTATTGAATAGTGTTAATTCATTAATTTATATATATATATATATATATATATATAGAATATGATATATATATATCATATAGAATATGATATGAACAAAATTAATTGCATAACTGTGTTTACAGCATTGTTTTTTTATGAAAACAGGTTTCACCATCTTTAAAACTGCCATCTTACATAATCTCATTAAGTAATCCAGTTTACGTGTAATGAGTTACTACCTAACACTGGTGTCACTACACCTACAACTACACAGCTGTTGGTACTGCTTCTTCTGAGTGGAATGCAGATGTTCTTCTCCTGCTAAAGCATGTCAACAGCTGCATTCCATTTAGGTTTAAGTGTTCTGCTATTGTCTGTGCTGGTTTACAGTCATGGCTTACCATCATTATTGGCTTTAATGGGAGGCGGCTGTGGCTCAGGAAGCTGAGCATCTTATCCACTCATCAGAAGGTTGGTGTTTAAATCTCCAACTCATCCTGCTACATGTCGAAGTGTCCTTGAGCAAGATACAGAACCCCAAATTGCTCTCGATGCTGTGCACTGGTGTGTGAATGTGGATGAGTGAGTTTGTTTGTTTGTGATGGCCTTTTCCATCACTGTGTGACTGAAAAAGAGCTCAAAGAGCTTTGACTAGAAAGGAGCTGTATAAGTATTGTCCATTTAACTTAATGTTATTAGTTCCACTTGTTTTCTTCGTTCAATGACAATGCTGTGGTAAGGCCTATTGCTCCTTGTAGAGTGGTGCTCACAATACTACAACAGGAAACAGCCTTCACTGACCTCCAACTCAAAGCAACACACACACATACAACATTCCTTAAAATAGAACCTTTATTATATAAAAATGCTTTTGATACAAAAAATGTCACAATTGTAAATTACACAAAGCATTTTTAGCTGAGACGACATACAGGGTTTTTAAGGAGTTGTACTGACACAGTGGTTTGAGGTGGGGCCTACAGCCCTTAATCTAAATGACTCGTGCTGCTCAGAGTTCCCACTTACAAATACAGATGCTACTCCAGCTGTTATCTGTCACCAGACATACAAAGTTCCCCACCTCCAAAAGTGCTTTTAGGAAACTGCAGTGTTCTCCATCTCTAACAGACAAACATCTTCCAGGCTCAATGACCATTACTGTCTGAAGAGACACACTCATTCATGGCTACAGTCTGACCTCTTAAGATCCCCTCCAGACATGTATTGTGACATTTATACACAGTCTGTTTGGAACAATAATATGTGTCTTTAAAATACTAAAATCGAATCTGTGAATATGCAAACGTTTCTAAAGTTTTCCTGCTGGACACAAAATGTCTCCTACTTCAAGTTAATGCATCACACTGTACAAGTTGATACTGGACCAGGACTGACTTCCAAATTATTTGTGTCACAAATCATGCTTTAAATCAGCTTCAGCAGATGAATGTGGAAACATCCTTCTAGTGTCAAACTCTGCACAGCTTTCAAATAGCACGCTGCAGGAACAAGAAGAAACACTGATTTCTGACTGGAGGGGCGCCAGCGCCGTAGTATTAAATGAAGGCCAGCTTAGAGGATGCTTGCTGTGTTCCCTTTGTCCAAACATTCTCCTGGGAGACGGTTTTCCATATTTTTGTGAGCATGACCTACGGTTGATTTATACTGCTAGAACACCCAGGTGAAAAGCCAAAACATTTTCCTTCTTTAAGAACACTCATTTATTTCCAGGGGGATCTCCTGTTTTTTATAAGTGCATCAAATGCCTTCCCACTCTTTGCTGCTACGTTCTGTAATGATAATATTACATAAAATAATAATAATGATTATAATAAGTGCTGGATAAACCCTGAAAACACAGTTTGTCTCCACATATCAGGCTGAATATAATAAGGCCCAGAGCGCGACCAACGACCACGCCCCCCTAGAGGCTGTTCAATGTTCGGTACACCCCATGGTCACAACATTTTGGACAGGGGTCTCACTCGTTTTAAGAAATCATTTTCCAGGACATTTTCGAGTTTTGTTGGACAATACAGTGATACAATAGTGGCTGGTGTCATCCTACCAACAACTGAGTTTGTAACTAAATACACACCCAGGTTTACATAGGCAATCTGAATGAGGGGCTAAAATAATATTAGAATTTTCTAGGGCAACATAAATTATTTCCAGGATATTTGGTCATTTTAATCTATTTCCAGGTGTTTCCCTGACTGAAAAACAAGTTTCTAAATTTTTTCCAGGAGGTGTGGGAACCCTGCTGGACAGAGCGAGCACGCTGATGATACAAGATGAAATCCTTAAACCTGATAGTGGGGCCAAATGTAAAGTTTGTCCCAAGAGTTAATATAGTGAAGATGACCTTAACACTAAAAACACTTACTACCTTTATACATACAGTATACAGTAACGTTATTGTATTGACAATGGATTCTAGTCCCAGTCTAAACTTTTTAGCGCTCTATTGTGTCCTCAAGAGCAAAAATCTGAAATTGTGTAAAACAAGGTGTTACGTTTCTGTTTCAAATCTGAAGTGTTCATCCCTTTAGGATACTTTTTACAAACTCCACAGCAGTTGAGGCAGGGTTCACTAGTCAGGGTCACTACACTGGAGGTGAGCAACAGCACAACTCAAGGCCTCAGTACGATTCAAACCAGGTGCTTGTCAGACTGTCTAACAGTCTCAAACACAGTGAAGCACACTGAGGCCTTCAGTGGACTTTTGGAGCGGCTCTGAATAAAATGTATCAGTGGGAACTCTTTCAACCTTTCACTTTTTGTGATTCCGAGAAGACTCCTTCAAACCAAACATGGCGAACGAAACAGATACATACATATTGATCTACACACAAACAGAAATACAAATAACAAAAGTTGCTATAAGAATAATTTGTTATTAACTGTAAAATAGCTTCATAATCTATTTTCAGAATGAGAGTGGTAATTTTGGGCTTTCTGTGTAGTTATAAGTCATAGTAATTGATATAGTATGTACACAATAGCAGCAAACATACTTTTGGTAAACGGGACAATGAGGGTAAAGTAAATGTGATGGAAGAGGTTCAGATTCACAATGATTCACAACTCAATCACTGACTTCATTACACATATGTACAATAGCTTTACATGTCGATATTCATTTGGTATGTTGTTGTCACGCAGAGATTACATGGGATAAAGAAGGGACTGCTGGCAAATTTGTTGACTTGGGAAGGCTCAACCACTTCAGAAGGCCTCATGTTCAACTACTAAGAATAGACCTTTTTCACGGCAGCCATTTTGACAATTAAAAAGTTGGCTGGTAAAATGGCTGATGTGAAAAAGGTCTATCTGAAATGTGAGCAACACAATTTCAAAACAATGTACAAAAGATTTCACACTTTGATCTTGGCCCTTTTGACCCTTCCAAAGTCCCGCCCCTTTTTGCTCTGTGCTCCAATAACAGTTGAGTAAGCCTCAGTCAGAACCTCTGTCAACTTCCTCCTTTCCTGTACTTAGATATGCTATGTGCTAGGCTAATCTATGTTGAAAAGACAACCACATTTTGAAGATGGTGAACAGATAAAAGCGACATATATGTGGTCACATCTTAAGTTAGCTAATGTTAGCAAAACATCCGCTAACTAGCTAACTACCAGATGACCTACCAGGCTGCCCCCGGAAAGGAGACATTTTACCCAGGTCTGTCGGCTACTGAGCTTGCTTAATTGTAACTGGAGCAAGGGCAGGGTTCTTAGGAAGGGTCAAATGCATCCATTCACTCATTCATCCAAACTTCTACACATTCATCAGTCATCATCTGCAAATGTATTTTATTTCCTACATGAAGCAAAACATTCACATATGCTCACGTACATAACTGTCCAATCATTCATTCATCCTTCATTCACTCATTCATCCACTTATCTATCTGTCCTTTGTTTTCTGTAGAGCGGTGGATCAGCCAACGTGAATAAAATAGTAAAATAATTTCCTCTCTGATTTATTTTTGTTCATATTATTTTAACACTATATACAGTCCTGCCGCTGGTCATGCCACTGGATGCTGTGAGGAAGGAGAAGACAAATGGTGTGAGGCTGGCGGGGGGGGCAGCCAAGTGGCAGTCCATACCTTGGCTTTATTCTTAATGAGTGATTTGTGGCTTGGGCTCATTATGGTTTACATACAACACCAGTTCCTAGTGGAGTTCAATGCAGTACATGCTGAAGAGTTGGGGGGGGCAGCGTGAGGCCAGGATTCAGACTTAAATCTGGACAGTTGGAAGTCTTGAAATTGTGTGATCAAGAAGTGGCCCAGCAAAGGAAGTTCTCTTCTTTTGGTGGAATGAATATTCAAGAAGGAGCTGCTTTCATCATCATCTCCTTGTGTGCCCTGCAGAGGGAGGGCCTCAAACCTTCAACCTGCCACGAGTAGAGTGAATCAGAGCAGGGCACAGGGGAGACAGACGTAGAACTGATCAGATGATGGTCACCCTGAGAGCTCCAAGATGACTGGAATGACAAAATGACCAAATGTGGGACGTAGGGACCTTAAGTAATGCACTTGAGCCTAACCAGCTGATATAAAGCAGCACGTGGGAGCTGGTCAGGCCTGGAAGTTGGCACATGAGTTCTTTCCCTAGTAATGTGGGCCTGACAAGGCCAGTTTCTTGTAGCAAGTGGACTTCATCCCTTCCTTCCTCACAGGGCTCCTGGGCTGTTGGAGGGTCACGAGGAGTCGGTGCAGGGTGAGGGAGGAGGGGGGCACAGGTGGAAGTAGGAGCGCTCGGTGGAAGGGGACGGGGGGCAGCTCTCCTCGGCTGACAGGTACTGGGAGCGGGGCGTCGGGGGTGGTGGGTAGGGGTCCGAGTCTGAATTAAGGTCCATGTAGTACTTGTTGTGTTTGCCGTGGCTGCCGTGGCCTGCGGCCTTCCAGCGGCCCGCTGACGATGCCAGGCCAGCCGGCGGGTGGTGGGGAGTGTAGTCGCTGTCACAGACATCAGTGCTGCAGGGAGTGGTGGGCGGGGCGGCGCCACGGACCGGGTGGTAGGGTCTGATAGGGAGGAGACACAGTTATTTTAGATCAGGTTCTCTTCTATTATATCTAATCTTTATTTGAACATATCCTTCTTAGTAGTTTCCACGGGGACTCCAAATTTTGATTGGAGCAGAATGTTACAGCTCCTTTTGTTTGTTAAAATCACCTCAATCCACATTCTCACACAGTTACATTTATTCAATCAACAGCTCTCCATTCAACCTACATGCAGGCTTTCTGCAGGTTTCAACAGGTTCAATTTAAGACTTTTTAAGACCATTGTCAACGCAATTTAAGACCTATTTCACATCCATACTGGCAAAGAAAGTATGACGGATATAAAGTAAAATGTTGGTTTGTCGTTGGTACAGCATGTTCAACTTATAATGTTCCCAAAAACACATTGCGGCAGCTATGGCTCAGAGGCAGAGCAGGTTGTCCCCTAATCGGAAGGTTGTTTGTTCAATCCCCGGCTCTTCCTGCCACGTGTCGAAGTATCCTTGAGCTGAATCCCAAATTGCTCCCAATGCACAGCATCAGTGTGTGAATGTGTATGAATGAGTTAGTTTCTGTTCGATGGACTTTGCCATCACTGAGTGAATGTGTATGAAAGGGTGAATGTGGCACGTAGTGTAAAAGCGCTATGAAGACTAGAAAGGCGCTATACAAGTACAGGTCCATTTACCATTTAAAAGAGACACTGAAAAACGTTAACGTCATTAATCCAGTCAATTTTTAAGACCTCTCAAAATCACTGCACCATTCCATCACATAAAAATATTCTACGTTGTAGTGTATCATTTTTACAAAATGTAGCTTCACATTTTTGGCGTCTTTGAAAAAATCTAAATTCTAAATTAAAGTTCTGTGGAATTGAGTTTCAGTTAAGGACTGAACAGCATGAGTTCAATGACTGACCCATGGATGTGGAATAAGTTAACTGCAGGAGGAACAAAAGCAAACCCAACAGTGAACTGACTGTAGAGCTAACCCTAACCAAAGGGTGTGTGTTACCTGTATGATCTGGTGGTAGATGGACTGTTGGAGGAGTAGAAGACCTCCGTATTGTAGAGAGAGCGGTCAGTAGCAGGGGACGGAGGAGGGTTCAAGATCTACAAAGAGAAAATACCTGTGTTATCTGACTGTCTGACTGCAAACTGTGTGTGCAGACAGTGTGTGTGTGTGAGTCTGGACCTGAGGGTAGAAGGCTCCCTTGGTTGACGACGAGCTGCTGGATGAGGCTCCAGTCACATGGTTCCTGTCATAGAGAGGAGCCCCGCTGCTGCTGCTACCCATCAGGCTGACTGAACTCATCATTGACTTCCCACAGGAAATACCTGCACACAGAAATTCACATTTTACCACGTGAACATATTAAAATTTTATTTTATTTGTATAGCGCCAATTCATAACAGAAGTTATCTCAGGACACTTTTCAAATAGAGCAGGTCTAGACCAAACTCTTTATAACATTATTTACAGAGACCCAACAGTACCACCATGAGCAAGACCTTGGCGACAAGGGCAAGGAAAAACTTCCTGTTAAAAGGCAGAAACCTAGGACAGATCCTTCGGCTCTAGGTGGGTGGTCGTCTGTCTCGACCAGTTGGGGTTAGAGAGAGAGAGAGAGAGAGAGAGAGAGAGAGAGAAAGAGAGAGAGAGAGACAGAGACAGAGAGAGAGACAGACAGACACACAGGTGCACAGCAACAACAGTATTAGTAATGGCAATCTAGCAGGACCATGGCAGGAGGCTCCACCAGGATCGATAAGAACCTGCGAGACGAGAAAGCACAAGAACTCCGGGGAAGAAGTGAAGTTAGTAACATGCATTAATGGTACATGAATGAGTGCAGAAAGAGAGAGGAAGAGAGGAGCTCAGTGCACCATGGGAAATCCCCCGATAGTCTAGGCCTATAGCAGCATAACTAAGGGATGGTTCAGGACTCCCCTGATCCAGCCCTAACTATAAGCTTTATCAAAGAGGAATGTCTTAAGCCTACTCTTGAATGTGGAGAGGGTGTCTGCCTCCAGAACCACAACTGGAAGCTGGTTCCACAGGAGAGGAGCTTGGTAACTGAAGGCTCTGGCTCCTGTTCTACTTTTAGAGACTATAGGAACCACAAGTAGCCCAGCATTCAGAGAACATAGTGTTCTAGAGGGGTAATAGGGTACTATGAGCTCTTTAAGATATGAAGGGGCCTGACCATGAAGAGCTTTGTAGGTGAGGAGGAGGATTTTAAATTCTATTCTACATTTTACAGGGAGCCAGTGCAGAGAAGCTAGTACAGGAGAGATGTGATCTCTTTTTCTAGTTCCTGTCAGTACTCGTGCTGCAGCGTTCTGAATTCATTGGAGCGTTTTAATGGACTTATTGGGGCAACCTGATAATAAAGAGTTGCAGTAATCCAGCCTTGAAGTGACAAATGCATGGATTAGTTTTTCTGCATCTGTCTGTGATAGGATGTGTCTAATTTTAGTAATATCACGTAAATGAAAGAAGGCGGTCCTAGAGGTCTGCTTTATGTGGGAGTTAAATGACAAATCCTGATCAAAGATAACTCCAAGATTCCTGACAGTGGTGCTAGAGGCCAAGTTAATGCCATCTAGGGTAACTATATCTTTAGACAGTGAGTCTCTGAGGATTTGGGGCCAAGAACAAGAATTTCGTTTTTTTCTGAGTTTAACATCAGAAAATTGCAGCTCATCCAGGATTTTATGTCCTTAAGACATGTTTGTAATTTAGATAATTGGTTAATTTCATTGGGCTTGATTGATAGATATAACTGCGAATCATCTGCATAACAATGAAAGTTAATGGAGTGATTTCTAATAATGTTGCCTAAAGGGAGCATATATAAAGTAAATAGTATTGGTCCCAGCATATACAACAGACAGAGCTTCCATGTCTGTGAAGTGAAGACAAAACTCATTAGGAAACTGTTTACTTAAATAATAGTGAGAAGTCGGCTCATTCCTTCACAAGACTCAGTTCTGTAGGACTTATTTTCTGCAGCCCATTATATATACTGTCGATACATTTTACAAATCCCTTTACACATGAGTAACGTTGCTTCTGTGTGTCGGATCTTACCTTGGAAGGTGCCATGCTGCGAGCTGCTGGGGGCGATGAAATTGAGGGGCACATGGGGCGTGCCACTGATGTACTCGTGAGGAAAAGTTCCACTGGGGCCCTTGTAGCGTCTACAGACCACGCGCTGGCACACAAAATAAGCACCACCGATCACGAAGACGAGCAGGATGATGGCAATGACCGGGCCGATGGTGTTGGGCCCTGTGTTAGGGATGCCGCTGGAGGGAGGAGACACATACTCTAAAAGACACAGAAAAGAAGAGTCAGCAGCAGGTTTAAGAGTAGTAAAAGAAGAAGTACTTAACCAGAGTATTTTAGTGTTTTTACCACAGGCGAGCTCATCTGATCCATCGGGACAATCAGAGTAATTGTCACACTGTTGCTTCTTGGTGATACACTGGTTGTCACCACAGCGGAACTGGTTAGGGGGGCAGATGGCTAGAGGAGAGCAAGGTGGAGATCCCTGTCAGTTTCTCACTAATGATAAGCTCTTGTATGGCAACATGTTATAGCTCCCATATAGTGTAGCTGCTAGCAGCTGCACATCAATGGAGCTAACATTTAATCTTTCAGTGTGTTCAAGTGTTTCGTAAGTTAGTTTTAACGTACTCTCACAGTCCTGCTCATCAGAGTGATCGGCACAGTCGGGTTCACCGTTGCAGCGCCTCTGAGCATCGATGCAGCCTCCTTTATCACACTGGAACTGGAAGGCTGAGCAAACAGGGCAGTTCTCCTCATCGCTGCTGTCGTCACATTCCGGGAAGCCGTCACAACGCCAGGCCATCGGAATACAGTCGATCTCACCCGTGGAGCAGGTGAACTGCTCTGTAGAGCAGGTGGGAGGCTCTGAGAGAAAGAGAGGGAGGGAGGGGGCAACATACATTCACAGTGTGGAGGAGACAGAGAGGGAGGAGCAGTGAGACATGTAACATTCAATGTAGATGAAAGGAGTGAACACTAAGTTTATTTGTCAGACACTATATTGTAGTGTTAAGTGGGTGTGTTTTTACCACAATTAAAACAATGATTATAATATTATACTTGTTTTCACGTTTACATAGACATCATGTTCTGTCCCACTCATTATTACCTAGAAAGATAAACACTGTACCACACGTCTGAATTCAACACTGATTTGTCTGTGGGTGTGTCAATCAATCAATGTGCCATTGTCAAAGCTGCAGCTCTTTCTGTCTGTATGTTAACAGTTAGCTGTCATCCTGGTAAGAAAGACAGTCTTTTCTAATGAGTATATGACTTTCAGTCTGACTGCACCATAATCCTGTTGGTGTGCTTTGTTTTTCACCTCCACAGTGCAGCAGGTCCTGCAGTAACACCAGATGCATGGGACAGGAGCAGCGAGGTGTGCCGTCACCCTTAGCAATGCAGATGTGAGAACAGCCACCGTTGTCGCGGGAGCAAGGGTGGGATGCTGGAGAGAGGAGGCAGTCATTACTAACCATAACCCGAAGGCACACACAAACTGCTACCTCAACAAAGACTAATTAAAACGGCCTGCTGCAATATACTACTCAATATACGACAGGAACTAATGCTTAAAGCTGGGTGCAGAGGTCCATACCAAACTCCTGTGGATCCATCTCTTCCACAGCATGGATGGAGGTCAGGTATGATATTCGTCCCTGTATGCGTGTGCGTCCGTCCCCGGTCAGTTTGTCCACCCTCTCTATCATCTGCTGTTGCCGGTCGATCCAGTACAGATGATCCCCAAGAACTGTCAGCCCCATTGGCTGGAGGATGTTGGAATCCTGGAGGACGATGCGATTGGCTCCTAGGGGAAGATATTAGAATTATGATCAATATATGCACCACGTAAGGGAATTTTAAACTTTAAAAATAAACCTGTCAGTGCTCTCTGGTGGACAATAGTAGCGGAGACAATAGGCCTCATGTAGAAACAATTCGTAAATAGATACAGAGAAATTAAAGAAATTCAGAAAAACAGAGCAGCATTTTTTTATTATGAAAACTTATCTCAGAATTCTGGGATAAGTGAGATAAGTTGTTATTTAAAAAACAGAGCAGTGTTTTTTCAATTATGAAAAATTATCTCAGAATTACGAGATAATAAATTGATGATTCAGAAAAACAGCAAATTTTTCAAGTGAATTCTATTCACTTCTGTAATTATTGCCTCAAGGAAATAAGAAATGCAAGGTTTTTTCTTTCTTTTTCTTAGTGAGGACTATAAAGTGTTAATACTTAATCAAGGGGTCAAGAGATTCTCGAAAAGAAATACTTGTATAATTTATAATAAATATCACATATGTTGAAATGACTGTATTTTGTACATAATTTTACTAAATGCAACCAATGTACTGACAAAATGAATTCTGTTGGAGTATGAACCTCTGTTTGAATTGCTATGGCTGTGGTTGGAGGAGCCAAAGTAAATAAATAAAGAGCAAGCAAGACAGCACACAAACAGTGTCACTGAAATATTCTGTTTAGCCCATACACTCGACTTATCAGTGGTTTTGGTTGCGTTTTTAATGTGGCTATAAATAAGCTATGGGAGTCTATGGGAGATCTTAAGGTCAGACAGGGAGCTACTAAAGCAGAAAAGGAAACTATTATTCAATTGATTTCTCTAACCACACAGGACAGGGCTTTCTTTACACTTGGATCAGACCAAATACTTCAATTTGCCATGTACTTTGGTTTATTTAATAGCAGTGGTGAGTTGTTATTATTTCTGCCACCATTCCAGTATTCATCATGTTGTCCAGGACTGTGTGAGCAGGACATGTGCAGACTATCATATCCAGGTTCATACTGAATCATCAGGCACTTAATTTACTACAACATATCTTCGAAATTTAGTAAAACACTAAGATTTATATCTTTTTAAATGTGATTGTTGTGTTTCTAGAGCAGTGGTTCCCAAACTTTTTCCTTAAGGGACCCATTTTCTTTCTTTTATTACTAAGTAACATATTTTATGGACATTTAACCCAAATTGTCCAATCAGTAACTTCAAGAAGTCTGTGTATAATTTGTGATTTGGATGAATTTAGAGCAGTTTATTTCCTGTTTAGGGAACCTTTTATACAATTCTGTCTGCATTATGTATTTTTATTATCTTAAACAATCATACAAACTTAATAGGCTTCTTTTTTTTTTTTTTTTTTTACAAATTTGGGGTTTACTTGTCCCTGATGCTTGGCCATTTCCTATTAGACAATTTACTTACTTTACTTAATTATTTATTTATTTGAATTATTTACTTGCGGATATGGTAACTCACCTGTCAGGTCACTGCTCTCGATGCGTTTGAGGTCAGCGTCAACCCAGAACAGTTTTCCCAGTTTATTGTCCAGAGCCAGTGCTACTGGTCTGATCAGACCAGTTGTGAACAGAGACTCTCTCTCTGTCCCATCCAGACTGGCTCCTTCAATCTTAGCTGAACGCTCCTGCACTGTGGTGAAATACATGTACCTAAAGAGGGGGACACAGACACAATTTATATAGGACATTGGGACACCCCAGGAAGTTCACACTTCCAACCACCAAAATCAAAATGAGCTCACCCTTTCTCAGCATTGACCACAATGGCCCGTGGCTTGTCGGTGTCGTCCTTCAGGACCACGCCCACGGTGTGTCCATCCATCCTCTGGACATTGATGGTGTTGGTTGTCTCACAGGTCCAGTAAACGTGGCGGCTGTAGGGGTCCAGGCTGAGATCATGAAGCTGGTTGTCCACCGGCTGAACATTGCTGCTCACTATCATGGTAGACTGGAGGCAAACACAGCAAAGTCATAATGTCAGCATTTTATTTTTATTGCAATTGTATTTATTTTAGTGTACTGTACTTTTAGTGTACTGTTTATCTGTAAGTTGAGAAAAGTTGTGATGGAACATCACACGTTTTGTTGCTCTGATTGGTTGAAGGTCTATCTAACTGCATCGAGTCTGCACCTGTTTATAATTTCTGGCTGATTGTTGAGTCTCATTCCCAAGTCGTCAAATAACGTAGATGGGAATGAGCCTCAACAATAGTCTATCTTCAACCTCCAGCCAAAGCATCTTTATATCTTCTATTGGTTGTTTTCATCCAGGCCCCAGTGGATTCTTGCAAATACCATCAGGAGCACCAGCAATCAGAGGAACCTGATTTTTTCACAGATTATCTGTCTGATGTACTGCTGTCAGGATATAGTCAAAGCTTCATCAAATATGCCAAGAAATTATTATTATTTTTAGTAGTTACCTACTGCAGCTTAGGTTGTTTGCTGAAATGCTGATGAAGTGAATAATTATAACCTGTGAACTTGGGTATCATGAAAGCTATTTCAACACTTCTTGGCATTAAATCTGGAAATTCCAAATCCAAATTAAAGCTGCAAGCAGCGATGAACAGGCCCTTGCACTCCACGCAACTCTGGGTGTGCTGCGGCCGCGTCACATGCGGACCACAACACGAAGATCAAAATCGCCATGCAGCAGTTACTTCCTGTTGCCAGTGGGTGGTGCTATCACTATATCTGAATATTGTCATGTAGACATGTTAAGGGCGGGACTCTTATTAAACATGTGAAGTTTCATTGAGATTGGACCACGTACACTGAAGTTATGAGGACGTGTTCAGGGTGGGACTGTTACAGAATATGTAAAGTTTAGTGGAGATTGGACATTGTACACTCAAGTTATCTGTTTTAACGCCACAGGCACGCCATTCAAGGTACAGTCACAAATAGGACAACTTTTAATCAGCAACATTTTTTAACTGTACTGACTAATTTTGAAGTAGATCCAATAAATTCCCTCGGAGGAGTTTGTTCAAATACAACGTGAAAAATCACAAAAAATGACCACGAAATTCAAAATGGCCGACTTCCTGTTGGGTTTGGGTTATGGGTCCAAGAGGCTTTTTTGCTTGTCCCATCATGATACACATGCGTCCCAATTTTCGTACATGTCGGTCATACGTGTCTTGGGGGCGCTTTCACTATTAATGAATATTATCACATAGACGTGTTCAGGGCGGGACTCTTATCAAACGTGAAGTTTCGTTGAGATCGGATCATGTACGCAGTTATGTTATGACAAATCCCTCTTTCATGGCGAGTCGTTGAAATTCCACGCCACGCCACATGTACGCTATTCAACAGAATGTCGTAAATAGCACAACTATCATCGTGAATGTCTTTAGATGGCTGTGTCCAAATCTGAAGTTTTTCGATCAATTCCCTAGGAGGAGTTTGTTCAAATACAACGTGTGCAAATCGCCAAAAATTGCTGCTAAATCCAAAATGACCGACTTCCTGTTGGGTTTGGGATATTTTTTGTTCGTCTGGATAAGATCTACGCATGTGCCGATTTTTATGCATATCGGTGAATGGGGCCCCGGATGGTACAGTTTATGGGCCCCTGAGGGGCCATTTTGCCATGCTCATAGTGGACCCCTAGAAAATACGAACATTTTCACCAGGCCTGACCACTTTGCCAAATAAAATTGACTTTTCGTATATGTTCAGGGGGGCAAAAATACAGTCGAAGTGTTGAAATAAATGATGAAAACCACCTGATAGCACCATTAGCTTTGGTCTCTGGGAAGAGAATCCTCTATAAACCAATTTGTTTGGGGGAGGAGGAGCAGGATTAAGCTGTTAGCCTTTAGTCCTCTGAGGGCCATTCTTTTGTAGACTGATGTTTGACTGTATGATTCCACAATAGCAAGCAGTCCCAGGTGAAACATGTTGAAGATAAAACATCTACTATCACACATTAGGAGAGTTTTACCATGGCTCCATCGTCTCTGGCCCTACGTATGTTCTGTCGTCCATCCAGCCAGTAAACCAGCCGGTCCAGGGGGTCATAGCTGACAGCTCGGACGTTCCTCAAGACGTGGATGGGCAGGATGATGTCAGGACTCTGTTCTCCCAGAACCATCCTGCTGATACTGGCCTTTTGACTGAAGAGCAGGAAACTAGAGGGAGCTGCAGACAGAGAGGCAGAAAGGAGGGGATGACGGGTGAAGGAATGGAGAGAAGGAGTGAGTAGACACTGTTCTCTCTGGTAAAAGGCAGGCCGAAAGTTGCTCAATGCATATTGTGAAATATAAAGAGAAACACGCAGGGTCAAAACCTAGTACGCCAAGCCCTAACACACACGTACACACATCATCATATCAGAGCAGCTGAAACCCCTCTGAATGATGGTCCCAGGAGCTGAGGAAGAGTTTGGAAACAAAAAGTATGCTGGATTTCACACAAAGGCAACTGAGGTTAATCCTTTTACCTTTTACTTGGATCCCTTCTGTTCCATTTGCTCTCGACTCCCAAATAAAGCTGCTTGGAAGTCCATCATAGGACAACTGCACTATCTCTCAAACACACACATACATTTCCAACCATCTCACTGTGAATTGTTTTAGAACCTGAGCAAAAAACAAATACGAGGTGAAATTTGAAATCTGTTCAGTATAAACCAGCTCATGTCTAAATAGCAGGGATTGTGCAGCTGTTTAAGAGTAAAATTCAAGCATGATGATTGCCATACAAGACTTACCTCCTGTTGCCAAAAGTTGGCGCTATGACTTAATATTGGCATGCAGATGTGTTCAAGTTGGGACTTTTATCAGACGTGAAGTCTGGCGCAGATTGGATAATCTGTTTATAATCTATAGACTGTACTGGCCAGATTTGAAGTCGATCCGATCAACTCCAGGGGAGGAGTGACTTAAAATACAATGCGTGGAAATGGCGCCAAAATGGCACTACTTATGCCCTAAATATGATGATTGTTGGAGGATTGTTGCATCACTTTTTTCAAGGGTTATTTCAAGCATATTCCACACCTTAAAAAACCTACGGTTAAAGTTTAGCATTTTCCAAACTTTAAAGACTTTGTATGAACCCTGTAACAGGGAGACAAATCAGTGCACTGGAAAAATTGGTATTAAAACTTCCTGTATGGATCTGCTTTTATCGTGTTTATCCACAGCCTTCTACTGTTTGCCAGTGAGGAGCTCCACTGAAGGAATGTGGCAATAAATTCGGAAATAGTGTGCTATTTAAGAACTGAGACAGACTCTCAACCACTATTAGAACAGCAGTACTGTATTTTACTGCCGTGTTCAAGGACACCTCAACTAGACTTCATAAAAGCGGGGATGTTTCTCATTTGTTTTTTACAGTCAGTCCTGGGACCTGACACCAGTGGCCTTCTATTCCCAAACATACTTGTGTTACTCTCTGAATCCCAGCAGCTCTGTACTTACAGCTACAGTTTCGTGCATCTGTGTTCAGTGTGTAGTGGGAGGCACAGCGGCACTGGGCGCCAGCAGGCGTAGCGAGGCAAAGGTGGGCACAGTTGCCGTTGTTATGTGAGCACTCGTTGGTACCCTCCTGACGAGAGGAATGGAACACCAGGATGTCCAGCATCAGCTCCAGCTGGCCCTGAGGACACAATGATGGAACAGTGGAAAAGCTCAGTATCCTAGGGCCTCATTTATAAAAACATTTCTAAGATTTGTACTTGAACCTAAGATCATTTCTGATGGGGTACTTACGTCGGATTTATAAAAGATACTGAGCATACTAATCCTTGCTTTAGCATGTTCTCAGAAGCCCATTTATAACTTTAAATCTTACATTAACGTAAAATTGACAGTACCTGCCTTACTGATTTCCCCTTACATAATGCAAGAACAAACAAGGGTTTACTTGGGAATAAGCATGGACCAAAAGATGAACACACAAAAGATAGTGAATTAACAGGGATATGAGTCTGTGTTTAATTCATTCCACAAACCAGCACTATTTTTGAAATCTTAATTTTTTTAACTGTCCGTAAGTCATTCCCAAGGTCTTCTCCCACTAAGCACAGCTACAATGGAGGTTGAGTGACTTTAGTTTGTACAGAATACAATTTATCTTTATGAATTATATTGATGCCGAATTGACAAGAGGACTGTGGACATGTATTTCTCGAGTTACATGTTGTTATGGACATAAGGGATTGTTAATCTGTCATATTTCTTAAAAGGGAGTTTGGTGTAATAATTTACACAGAAAGAGCACAGGGAGCCTTATAAACTGTTATGTATATATTTTTTAACGTCTGATGTTGACTGCTGTTAGTTATTGTTAGGATAAAAACTGATCTGAAAATGAAGTCCATTTTATAAAGCCCCGGGATTAGTGATTATTTCAATGCAAGTATTTAGTCTCCCCCCCAGATTTTAATGAAATTCTTTAAAAGAACAATTTAGGAACACGATAACTCCAACAATTTTGGTTATTGAATTTGCTGACTCATAAATAAAACTGGTTCCATACCTGCAGCACCACAGTGCGGTTGAGTCCGGTGCGTTTGTCTGCCCGTTCAATACTGCGCAGGTTGAAATCTGTCCAGTAGATAAAGTCCCGGTACTGAGTAAGACCGAAGGGGTGAGGGAGGTCGTCGACTATGATCTCTCTCTGAAGGCCTGTGAAAGTCATGACAGCATCTGTACACTGGCTCAAGGGCTCTTCATCTCATCATTAACTACAACAATGTCATCATCTAAGCATCAAGTAAAGCTTCCACCACCATTACTAGGGATGGGAATTGACAACAGGTTCCAGTTGAGTTGGTATTGGTATCAATAAAATATTTTCCCATCCCTAATCATTATAGATTTGTATTCAAGTAAACTAGATTAGATGTGTGTGATCAGAACTGTAGCCTACAATTAATGTATGAGTGTCAAAAACATACATAAGGATAACTGGTACTGTTAATGAGGGCCACAACTAACAATATTTTTTAACCTATTAATCTGTCGATAGTTGTTCGGTCAACAAAATGTTTGAAAATGGTAAAAAAATGTTGATAAGTGTTTACTAAAGCACAAGCTTACATTCTCAAATGTCTTGCTTTGTCTACAACCCAAAGATATTCAGTGTACTGTCATAGAGGACTAAAGAAAGCAGAAAGCATTTATATTTAAGAAGCTGAAAGAGAGTTCAGACATTTTTTCCTTCAAAAATGACTCAAAATGTCGACAACTAATAGATTAATTAACTAATAGCTGCTACTGTTCATATTTTGGGATATAGATGGCAGCATACGTAGTGCAGAGAGAGTCAGGAGATTGACTCAAATGACAATCAAGAGTTGGCCTGATGGTGGCACTAGAGGAAAAGTCATAAAGTGTCCAAAATCAATACATTTTGGCATGAGAACAGCAAATCTCATGCACAGCCAGCCTTTCATTTTAGAGATTGGTTTGGAATAGAACAACAAACAAATAAAGAGACCTTGGGATTCTTTAAATAACTGATGTTTGTGATATTTTTTTTACTGAAGATTAATTAAGTAACTTTTTGTTTATGTAAATGAAATGCATGTATATAGCGCCTTTCTAATCTTCCAACCACTCAAAGTGCTTTAGACCCTGCTCATGCATGGTAAGGGCCTGGTTGACAGAGTGTCAGTGCACATGTCCAAACCTTGCATGTTGGTGCTTTCGATCATGCACGTGTCCAGGTCAGTCCAGTAAAGACGATGGTCTACATAGTCAATGGTCAGCCCGTTGGCCCGGCCCACTTTGTCCACCAGGGTCGTGATGGTGCTGCCATCCATGTAGGCTCTGGCTATACGAGGTCGACCCCCCCACTCTGTCCAGTACATGTAGCTGCAGAGACAAAAACACAAGTTCAGCATAGGACAGCTATCCAGCTTTGTATGTAACAGAGTTATGTAAGAGTTACGCTGGTTTCAGTGAAATCTGTTTTGGTCTGATACACTATTTATTTAATTTGATCATATATTCCAGAGGGGGAACCTGTTTCCACTTTGTAACTGTTGTTTCTATTGTCTATATTAATGTGTGAGCATTGTATGTGATTATTAAATGACATCAGACGCCTCCAGGCAAGCGTGCTGACAGCTCTGGGCCATGACATCATCATCAAGACATCACCAAGTGAGTGACATGTTAGGAAATTTGACACGCTGGCACAGGTACTCAACACTCATACAAACACAGACTCACACAGTTCAGAGTGTCTGGGGGGGTTGGCCAGTGATGAAGGCTGATCATGTTGGCCTTGTTAACACACAGGTTCAATAGCATCATCCCTCTCTCAGCTGGAGGTTATGGGGAAAGGCGGGACGCTGGCGGTTGTACCTACATACCAACACAGTGACACTGCTACACTCTCACTACCTCAGACAGAATGAGGAGACACACTACATGAAGTCATTGGCACCAGCTCATGTGATTGACAGACGCGGACCTCCAGCATAATACAGGTGTCTGACAGTATACCTCCATAGGGCTTCTCCACTAACTGTTCTCTTCAACTGTTCAGTTTTGTCTTGCCTTATATATTTACACACTCGTCTAAGTTGGAGGTGAAACATTTAGAGCATGTAGCTAAGAGGGTTGGCAATAGATACAACACTGTTCATTAAACAACAATGGTGGCTGCTAAAGAGGTTAGCGTAGATGCTGCTAGCATCAGTTCTGCCAGAACTGGAGAGTATTTCTGCATTGAAAGAAGGGCAAAGAACGGCACTGAAGGCTTTTGTCCATGGAAAACTGCGTTATATAGTACATTGAGCTAACTGATTAACGTTCACCTGTGACAGATGGTCCATCCAATCACCTGTCACCATTAGTAGATCTTGTACAATTTAGCAAATGTGTATTAAATTCCTGCTCTTACCCATTGGCTGGGTCCAGTGCTAGTGACCGTGGGTTGTCCAGTGAGCGTGGGTTGTCAAGATCCTTGCACACCAGGACCTGCCGGTACTGGCCGTCCAGCCGGGCCACCTCGATGCGGTTAGTTCCTGTGTCAGCCCAGTAGATGTTACGACCCATCCAGTCAACCGCCATGCCTTCTGGGTAGTCCAATCCAAACTCTATGACATGTTCTACAGAGCTGCCATTCATATACGCTCTGCTGATTGTCTGAGAGAATTAGAGAGCACGAAAAAGGAGTGAGAGGTAAACAGGAAGAAATTAATTTCAATTTAACTTGGGACAATGACTCCAAATTACGCACTAGATATCCCAGCTTTCCTGAATTCCTTCAAATCGATTGGGTGATTGGGTACAAGGTATCCACAAAATACTTTTGTCACATAAAACTAATTATGAAGTTATTAAATCCAAAATACACCTAAACATTTGCCTTTTCTGAAGATGAATTACAAGATAACTCTTGCGGTTGAGTGCTTCTTATGTGAACAGTCTTTTTCCCTCACCCCTACTCTCCTCAACAAAAATCTTAAATAGGGAATAAATACACCGTCCAAATATGGTCAAATATGTGTTCTGCCTGAATTACATAACAACATTTTTTATAGAAATACACATATACAACCTATTTTTAATACAGCTTCATAAATTGTGTTTGTGTTTAATTTCTGCAGCCCAGCCTACCTTGGCCTGTATGTCTGTCCAGTAAATTCTTCTTTCAGACACATCAAAGTCGAGAGCAGACGCCTCTTTAACTCCGGTCAGAGGAATGGCCACATCGTTGCTGTTGGTACCCAAAGAGATGCTCCTGATGTTGTCCCTGAGGAAAAAAAGAGCATGTGACATGTGTTTTACATACACAGTTGCTTATTTTATCAAGTTAGTGTAGAGCTAAACCGGAAGCATGTGCCACAGAGCATGCACATTCATCCAGGTCATTTCTTTACATAGTGGAGTGGATTTTTTGGCTTCACGCACCACTGAAACTCTTACATAGTTATAAACAGAGACCAGCCTCCAGTTCTCCCTCTCTCTACACAGGCTGCATAGCATGAGGTGCATGTTAGCAGAGCAGCAGCTTTAGTCCACTGTCTGGTTCTACACAGGAAGCATTCAGGCACAGTATTAAGTGTAGGTCACCTGTGTTCTGGCAGTGCTCAGAGCCCCGCACACAACCAGTGAAGTTACGACCATAAAATGTAACAAAATAGACTTGTAAAAAAAAATACCTAGATCACTTTAACGTAATGCAACTGTTACGTGTAGAAAACAAGGCATAAACTCAACTCTTGATATCACAATATAATTTGCTCATTAGTTTTTTGAACAAAATTTGATTTTTTTTGTTAAAAAAAGAAGATAAATTATGACCAAAAAAGATTCTACAACCTAACGTAGGACATATAATTAGATAATTTTTTTTGATAAAACACCAATTTGAATCTGCACATATAAAACTGTCTCGCGATATACAGTCGTGAAAAAATTAGAACACCCTATGAAAACATATGTGTTTTTTAACATATTTAGACATATGGATATTTAATATCAGTTATAACACTACTGAGAGATTCAAGTAATATAACTAAACAAGTAAAACTGAAGAAAATACTTTTTAAAACTTTCTGTAAAATGTAATAAAATAAACATGGAATTTCTGGTGAGGAATAAATTAGGACACACCCACATTTTTTCCCACTTAAAATGGCTGAAATCACACACAGGTGTATCACATCAGGTGCACATGATTAGAACATTGTTACTCAGCATTTTGAAGGAGGCTTGCCCTATTTAAACCTCAGACATTCAGTTTAGTGTGCTCCTGACTGTTGACGTGAGAGTGAACACCATGGTGAGATCGAAAGACCTGTCTGAGGCCTTCAGAAAGAAGATTGTTGCAGCTTATGAGTCTGGTAAGGGATTTAAAAAGATCTCAAAAGAGTTTGAAATCAACCATTCCACTGTCCGGAAAATAGTGTACGTAAGTGGAGGACATTCAAAACAACTGCCAACATGCCCAGGCCGTCCAAGCAGGTTCACCCGAGAGCAGACCGCAAGATGCTAAAAGAAGTCTCCAAAACCCCTAAAATGTCATCGCGGGACCTACAGCAGGCTCTGGCGACTGTTGATGTGAAAGTGCATGCCTCTACAATCAGAAAGTTTAATTTTCACGGGAGGTGTGCAAGGAGGAAACCTTTACTCTCCAAGAGAAACATTAGGGCCAGACTGAAGTTTGCCAGAGAGAACGTAGACAAAGAACAGGACTTCTGGAATAATGTTCTTTGGACAGAAGAGTCTAAAATTGAATTATTTGGAGACCAGAACAGAGAACATGTTTGGCGCCCAACAAATACAGCGTTCCAGGAAAAGAACCTCATACCAACTGTGAAGCATGGAGGTGGAAATGTCATGGTTTGGGGATGCTTTGCTGCAGCAGGACCTGGCCAGCTCACCATCATAGAATCCATCATGAATTCTACAGTGTATCAGAGGGTGCTTGAGTAACATGTGAGACCATCTGTAAGAAAATTAAAGCTGAAGTGGAACTGGACCCTGCAACATGACAATGACCCTAAACATACCAGTAAATCCACCAAGGACTGGCTGAAAACTGAGAAATGGAGAGTCCTGGAATGGCCCAGTCAAAGCCCAGATCTTAATCCCATTGAGATGCTGTGGGGTGACTTGAAACTGGCTGTACATGCAAGAAACCCCTCAAACATCACACAGGTTAAAGCGTTCTGCATTGAGGAGTGGGGCAAACCTTCCTCAGACCGATGTCAGAGACTGGTAGAGGGTTACAAGAAGTGTCTCACTGAAGTTATTTCAGCCAAAGGGGGTAACACTAGGTATTAGGGGGTAGGATGTCCTAACTTTTTCCTCAGTTAGAATATGCATTTATGTTGTCTTTTGTTTAATGAGTAAAACAATGTTATTCTTTGCTGTTTACCTGCAATTAGATCACTTTCCTTTCCAGAGATAAATAAAAACAAGATTAGACATTGATATGTGAACATTTCTTAATGAATAACTGAATATTTAATGGGGTGTCCTAATTTTTTAACGACTGTATCTTTCCTAGTATCAACAGACGTGCATGAAATGAATGACTGAAAAATGCTGAAATGCCTCCTGCGTAGACAAGCTGTAATCTAGTTGGGACCACTGACTGAGACCAAGACAAATCAGTGTCAAAACAACCATTAGAAGTCGGATATAAAAGAATGTCTTGAGACCAAAACTGGACTCGAATACAACAGTTCTGCAAAGAGGTAGGAGCCTTGAGCTAGGAAGAAGGAAACAGTGGTCTACATAACTCATTTAGGTGTTTTGTGTCTTTGTTTTGTCATTTGGTTGAATAAATAGACATCATGAATGGAATATGTACTAGTAGCAGCTAGCAAGATCAGTGAACAGTGAGCAGGTTTCTATTGCAGGTTGACAGGTAGGCCTGTACCTGTTGGTGAAGAGCAGGAAAGCCTCAGGCACCACGCAGGTCTGCAGGTCTGAGAGGAGCTCCATCCCCATGGGACAAGCACAGCTGACGGCTTGCCGACACCAGAAACACAGATGGCTGCACCCGCCATTATTCACTGCACAGCCATTAGTACCTGGACACAGATTGGAGGAGGGAAAGTTTGAATATTCATTACATCTTTTCTTGTCTTCATTTTTGTTACTAAATCAGCTGTCCTCCTTACCATAAGTCTCTGTCACTTTAGTGGCCTTCAGCCCCATTAAATCTGGCAGCTGATCGATGATGATCTCTCTTACGGCCGTAGCTTTATGGACCCTCTCAATGCTGCGTCTCTGCCAGTCGGTCCAGTAGATGTAGTCACCCAGCAGAGTAAAACCAAAGATATGAGGCAGCTTGTCCTCCAGCAGAGTCTGTCTGTTACTGCCATCCACATTGATCACCTGAGGTGGGAACAAACAGAAGAGACAGGGAAAGCTTTAGAGTTTTTCCTTGGCTAGACTACATATTAAAAACATATTCTTAACATTCTTCATGGTCAAAAAAACTGCCAGCAACAATAGAATATAATACTTAACAGTTTGATTTTACAACTGTATGGGGGATAAAACCTGGAAAGGTAAAACACATCACATGTCCCAAAGAATGTGGTGACAGCGTCCCTCAAGCATCCTTGAGCAATACATCAAATCCATCAACTCTACAGTTGCTATTCTGTTGCTGACCCTAACCGCTGACGGGGTCCATTTCCATCCAGGGAGTTACATAAGGACACATATGATAGAGGTTGTAGCTGAAGAAACTGGTGTGCTGAAAAAATTAACAGGATGGAGGGAAATACTGACTGATGGGACAAAAGGCAGAAAACGATGTCCACAGGAAGTTCTATGCCCCAAAAACAGAATAAAAAATAACTGACTTTGACAGGGCAGGACAATAAATGTATATATTCCTTTCTCTGCCACCAGAACTTGGTCATTTGAAAGCAAAGTGAGTTTCTTTTAATGTCTCTGTCTGAATAGAAAGTCAGGAGGACCAAGAGGGTGCCAACATTTCGGCCTTTTCTGAGGTACAACACAAAAATAGACAAAACACAAGAAAATGAAGAAAACAACTTCACCACTTTGACAACACATACAGAAAACACAAGCCCCATTCACAACACACCAGTGGCATAAAGAAAGGTGCTGCAGATACAGAAAACACCAGCAAATACATTGACAACAGAACAACAGAGTAGAATTACAACACTAGTGCTGAAACTAACGATTATTTTCATTATTGATTAATCTGATCATTTTCTCAATGAATTGATTAGTAGTTTGGTCTATAAAATGTCAGAATTCTTTTTTTTTTTTTTCCCCCAAAGCCGAAGGTGACATCCTCAAATGCATTGTCCACAACCCAAAGCTGAAATCGGAGGATCTGGACATTTATTCTTAAAAAATTATTCAAAATGATTAATCGATAATCAAAATAGCACAAAACAGGTCTCCTGAATAAGTTGATCGGCAGAAGTTTGATTTGCTTTAGTCAGTTTTGAAGCATAACTGTCAAACTTTTGATGGTTCCAGCTTCTTAGAAGTAAAAATCTGCTGGTTTTGGACTATTTTCTGACATTTAATAGACAAATTGATAAAAACCTGATCAGATTTATCAATAAGGAAAACAATTTTTAGTTGCAGCCCTACTGACAACACAACAAGCTATGTTGCATTGTTTGAGAATGTTTTTTTCTGACTGATATTACTGGAGATATTGGATAGTGTAAACCTCTTACTAATTGACCCTACGTAAGTCCCGCCCCTTTTTGCTCTGTGCACCAACAGTTGAGAACCTCAGTCAGAACCTCAGTCAGAACCTACCTCAGTCAACTTCCAGTACTTAGAAATGCTATGTGCTATGTTTGTTTACATTGAAAAGACACATTTTGGAGAAAAGAAAAGGTAAAACCAACGTATATATAGTCACATATATATAATTGTTAGCTAGCTAGTTCCATCTAACGATGGATGTAGATTCGCTAAATCTACATCATAATATATGATGCTTTTATCTTTTAACTATCATCAAAATGTGGTTGTCTTTTCAACACAGATAAGCCTAGCACATAGCTCAACTAAGTACAGGAAAGGAGGAAGCTGACTGAGGTTCCAAAAGGGGCCGGACATAAGAACTGGATCCTGTCAGGATTGACAGGCAATAGAACAATAGAGAAGGCTTGCTGGACAAATAAGGATGTCCAGGTCCTCATTAGTATTTGTGTAGAGGTCATTGAGAGCTAGCTGGAGTCAGCAATTAGAAACCAAAAGGTGGACCATAAGATTTCTTAGCATCTGGCAAACATTAAGATACAACACACATAAGATTCAAGAAAAATAAAGTGTCACAATTCCACACAGTGGAGCAGACCAAAATCACTGTTTTTGGGCCAGAAACCAGTTTGTGCCGGCCCCAGCACAGCCTTGGATTGAGCAACAAAAACATTTTTCAGCCTGAAATTTCAATGCTGACACACAGATTACAAAATCACAGGCAAAACACACACTAATACACACATAACACACAACACAATTTCTCACAACCTGCCTCTCTGTTCTGCGTGTGTTTCTGTGTGTGTGTGTGAGTGTGTGCCTATCAGTCACAAGACATCTATTACTAGGTATTTGAAAACTGATACAGGCACCTCTGCCAACAAATCCCCTACTGAGTGTGTGCGTGTGTGTATGCATGTGTGTGTTTCTACGAGTGGAAAGTGAGAGCTGCAATTGACAAGGCTGCAATTAGAACTTGTGTCCAGCCCTCCTCCTCACCGCCTGTGCTATTACTGGACTGGCATCGACTGAAATAGACACATGCTTTTATTTTAGACACACTACAGTCATCTGCAGCCTGCGTGAGGGAGTTTGTGCATGAGTGTGTCACACGCTGCTGGAGGTTCTACAGTGTGCCATCCCAGAAATTTCACAAATGGGAAGAATTCTGTTGGACAGTTTGCAACACTATATGTGCTCGACAAACAGATACATTAAAACTGAATGCTCAGGAGCAGTTTAGTCTGGTGCAGTGTATACCAAGCAAGCAGCTGCAGGGATTTGTTGGTTTGAATGAGCCAGGATTAAGAAACTAACAGGCCATTTTCCATGTTAAACACTGAGAAAGACAGATGGAATCACAGGGAAACGTATGAAATGTAGCTGTTCTTGGGTTTTCCTGTCTTACTGTGGTCTTGTCATCCAGGATGAGTACTAGAGGGTATGACGCCCTGTTCACACTGACACACATTACCTACACAAAGTGTTCCGGTTTTTGGACTTATTGCTAAAAAGACAATATTCCTACTAAGCTTAGTTTACATGGCTACTGAAAAAAATATTATTGTTTACGTGCAGCTGTGCATACTCTGATTAACCTAACTGTTAAGGCCGTACATCCTATTGAGGAATTTCCCTCCTTCTTCCTGAAGGAGCTGATCAGATGACACATTTATTTTATTCCACAGGAAAGTTTATTCAGTCTTTCCCACACATAGATTTACTTGAACGGACTGCCTGGCATATTAATGGTCAGCAACTTATATTAGCGTTTTGCAGGGAAACACAGAGGGAGAGAAATTGTCTAGTGGATATTTTTCAAGCACAGACGAGGTAAAGCAAGTTTTGATTTTGATATGCAACATCATTAACGAGTCTTCACCTGCTGCTGTGAAAACTGAATCCAAAAGGTGAGTTGTGTTTCTTGGGTGACTTCATAAAGCATACAGCTGACAAAGAGAGTGAACAGAGCAGACACATACTGCCTGTATCATACATGGAAAGAGAGAGAGCAGGCCAGGGCAGGGCAAGCTGGTGTGTGTGAGACAGAGGTGTAGGCTAAGGCCTATAGAAACAGAAATATACCTCCTCCCTGCTACAGTTACACCAGTTAACATTCTGTGGAAACGATATTTGTATTTGTGTAGCTCTAAGCTGCTCCCAATAACCAAATGTAGGCTGCTCTGGTTAATTTTGTATCTCAAAATATATGTATCTGTACCATAAACAGCTGTCAATTCATGACACATTATCATTTCTTAATTTTAATGTGCAATATATTAAGAATATTTAAATAAATAATGGTACACAACAAATACAAGGTTTCAAGTAGACCCCATGACCTGTGATCGGAGCAGCCTTAGTTGGTTTGTTTAGAAGAGGATATACTTTATTAATCCCCCTTTACAACCAACCAACCAACCAACCCAGCTACTATCATGTCAAGAAATGTTCCTCTCTGTGAGACTCAAGCGGACTCCAGTGGAATTCCAGAAGAGTAGAGGTGAACTTTGTGTGACTTGCCAGGAATTAAACTTGTTCTGATAACTGACAGAAGTTGCCTAACTTGAAGGAGCAGATAACCAGGCTTAATAAGTCGTTGTACTTTTGTTTTTATTGTTGAGATAATATCACTATGTTAGAACGATCACCAGACTGTGACATTGTGATTGTGTCACCGCACCGCTGCTGCCTGTAAGGCTGTGGGCGCCAGCGCACTCAAGAGTCTCTCAACATGTTTTCCAAAGTGCAGTTGGTTCCATTTAAACTTTCCATTATTTTTTTTAATCTTCCACTGTGGTCCAAAACAAGAAATCACTTAACAACGCCAGACCTGTGGCCTTCACTTCACTTAAAACCCAACAACGTTCGCTTCTCAGGCAGCAAATGCGTTGACGATGCCGAGCTGTTAATTGTTAATATACTATATGTGAACACAGGCCTTTTCTTTTTGGTTTACAGACCTTCCTTTTGTTTTGAATAACTCCTAATCACATCTTTTAACTAACTAAATGTTGTCAAATTTTAATTTTCCTTCCCAGCTCAGAGTTTCTGATGTTTGATTGACAGATGGGGATGCTCTGGTTTGTTTTACCTCCAATACTTTTCTTTCAACCCAGCCCTGACTGCAGATTAAGAATGAATTAAAACGTGTTTTCATTGTTTGTCTACACCCAGTGCATTGATTTAAATAGTAAAGAAGAAAAGGAAGAGTTAAGTAGAAAGAAGTGAGTGGGTATACCAAAACGAGAATTTTAAAGGGAGAGTGGGGACGACAGAAAGAAAAAGAAAAAAGGAGAGAGAAAGTCACAGTAACGCATGGATGCTTACAGACACTGACTCCTCTGTCCACACACACCCCACACACACACACACACACACACACACACACACACACACACACACACACACACACACAGGAAATGGTCCACTGGGGGTTGAAACTCCACTTTGAGGAAGCCTCAAAACCAGAGCGAAGTCAAAATACCCTATAATGTACTTCCACAGAAAACAATGGATTTCACAAGGACAGCTTCACTATTTGCTCAAATGCACCACATATTTTGATTTCCTTTTGTCATCAGCTCACATTTTTGTGTCGTTATGTGCCAGAATATAATATCTAGAAC